GGCAAACAGTGAAACTGGAATTCCAAAATACTTCCCCAGGCTAGCATCTTGTACTGGGGTGCAATTGTAATCCCGTAGAGGTTGAAAACTCCACAGTGGGAACCCTGTTTCAAAGAAACGTCGATCACCGAAGGAATCGATATACCCACCTGCATAATCCAATTCTGGTGACTTCGGTCGGGAGCTGTCAGCCCTTGCAAGTGATTGTCCACGACTGCATTTACCGTGGTGTGCATCCATAGGTGTGACGGTTGTTGATTGAGTCTAACTTTGTTTTCGCAGGTTGACGAAGAACATATGGACGCAAAAACAAACCCAAATGCAAAGGAAACAACACTGATTGTAAACTTTTTTTGTGGTTGGTTGTAAATGTTAAATTACCTTAAACCCGTAGTCATTAATACGTTGGTGGTAGGTTTAAAGATGTGAACACAGTTATTGTTGTTTGGTGGCAACACCTACCCAAACTGAGTAAAAGCAAATTAATTATTTTGAATATTTCATTTAATAGGTTCGGTGTAGTTGGAAAGGCATATGTATCTGATAAGAGGAATTTTGCTAAGCTTTATAGATGAGTAGACATGTAATTGGGTTGGGGTAGACCAAAAGTTGGGTTGGGGCACAAATACAAATGATGAATGTGAATGTATGATAAACTGTGGGTGTGGAAATCAATGACAGTGGGATATTACTGATGGAAGGTACAATGCATGTGTGTTGGAAATGCCAAATAATGGTCGATCAGGGGTACTGAGCGGATGACTTGGTGTATGCAAGAAGGAACGAATTTCTGCAAGATGAATTCGGCCAGTTTGAGAAATTAGTATAATGTATGTCACAATGCATGAGGTCTTCTGAAAACATACAAGTCATGTACCATATCTTACAAATACTTACAGCATAATGTTGTGTAATATTATGAATCTGTACATTTCTTTAAAAAAGTAGTAAGTAAAATAAACCATACACATATTCCTCCAAATTGTCTGATTCGAATAAGATTGAAGCTATTGTTGAAGCTCATGTTGCTCCTGTATTGTAGCAGTTGCAAGATATCTACGAAAGGCTGAATGAAGTGGACACACGGTTGTCAAGTTTGGAGCGGCAAGTCGGCACTCTGAAGCAAAACGTTGATTGGCTGACCGATGAGAAATTGGCAGCGGACGAAGCAAAGTCTGATAAGACAATGGATGAGGACAGTCAATCAGACAGTACGGACAACTCTTCAGAAGACGCTGCTGATGATGCAGCAGATATGTAGTTTTGTTTTTTTATTTTAACCTTTCCTGTAAGACGTTGCATGTTTTGTTTTGGGTGGAGTCATATGTGCTAATGGGCTGAGATATGACTTACATACAAAGAGTTGAGTTTTCATTCATAATGTGGTTGGTTTCATTTCTGAAAATTAATTTTTCATTTTTTGTAATTAAATTATAAATTCATTTCGGTAACAAATTAAAAATACAACTCAGACAACAGCCAGTAACAAAATTTCATTATAAATTCATTTTGTAATTATATTAGTTTTTATTTATTTTGAAAAATTTCAAATTGTTTTTTTAGTACAGTTGCGACATCAAAGTTATCTGACAAATTGGGCAGCAAGTACATTACTCCAAATATGAGTAAAAAAAACAGCCGTAAAATATATTTGTTTCAGTCGCATTCATCCGAACAAGAAACATGCGTAAACAAAATAGTACTTTGCAGTTAGTCCATCTTTACATCGTCCAGCAAAAATAATACTGGGGAGCCATAATTAACATCCATATTGAAATCAAAGAATAAAAAATTAGTCAAGTCCTGTTGCCACCCAAATTAGTATCGTACTGGTAGCCCATTCCCATCACTGGCCTAGCATGTGGCATTGCTCATATGAAGGCACTCCCGGTACTCTGCGATCTTTGCATTATTGACATCCATAATGATGTCAGCCAACAACTTATGACGCACAGAGGGATGGAACTTTGTACAGAAAGATCATAAGACAAATAAGTTAAAATTGCAAGACATACAAGGAAGGGTTTGATTGACAAATGGAAATGAAGCGGGTAGAATGTACCTTGTGTGGACCGGGGCTTAAATCAGGTTGCTGTATGAATTTGATGACAAACATCCCACAGTCAAACGTGCTACAAAAATAATTTCACATTAAATTTGTCATCAATGTCAGTAGGTTCGTTAAGTCAGTCATGCAGCATACACATTAATGTGAGGGAGGGATTGTGGATTACTCGTCCAGTTGTTGTACTGGCCTCTCATCTAACATGCAGAGGTGGAAGCTACGCACGTCTGTAACATAAACATTTCCAAAGTGTAGTTGCAGAAAGTCGTGCATAGTTTGAACCTGTTCCACAAGATTGAAGTTGGATTATGCAAAGGATGTTCGAGTTTGTTGTAGTGTTGAGAAATGCACCAGGACATACCAAAATTTTTGCCTCATTTAGCTTCCTTTTGTTCGGTCGGTTGGATGGGAACGAGTCAAATGGGGAGGCTATACGGTCCACCATATCAATTTTAACGCACAACCAATGCACTCCTCTGTAATTAAAAGGCATGTAAATCTACACGCAAACACAAGGGCAGACCTTGTTTAGAGGCCATGTAAACATGTAATGGCTTTCATATTTTCGTTTTAATATAACGGGATGAACATTGATATTACCCTCTGGCATGCATCAATCGCACCAGTGTATCTGTCATGTCCGATATGATGTGACGATATTTTCATGGTGCAGAGGTTGCGTATCTTTATTTAGAATCAAAGTCTGCATGTGTAATGCATAAAGGTCATTGACGGAAACATTTTACAAAATATGTCATACACAAAACACAACATAGCTTTAAACACTTACTTACCGACAGATATACGGGAAAGAACCAATCAGTATGCCTCCCATCATTGTGTAAATCCCTCTGTCGATTAGTCAATTGCACCACCACCAAGTTGATTGGCTGGAACATTGTATGTAAGACACAAGGCAAGTTGATTAGAAAGGTTTCTGAGTCAGGGGTACTGAAAAATGCAGATTCATATGTGCGCAGCCAACACTTACAATGTCGGATAGCCACGACCCTGGTTTGAGCGTGCGCATGTCACGCCGGGTATTACGCCGGGTACCAACTTCACATGCCCGTCCATGAAGATTCATGGAAACAACAATGTCCCTACAAGCAATAATGATCCTTAGAACGATAGTTATTTCACAGTGGACTGTCATTTAAAATTTGCAAGTAGTAAATGAAACAATACATTTCATTTTTGCTATCGTCAAATACATAGTCGAGAAGTTTTTGTTCCTCCGCCGATAACAACCCTTCGCTGTCCAACATCCTCAACAAGTCCTACAAAAATGAACAGCCAACTAACACTACACATTTCATAAAAGAAATTAAAGCTTACATTACAAGGTCGGTAGTCATAAAAAAGAACGTGAAATGATGTATAAACTGTGAGCCTCAGAGTTTTCCAAACTTGTGATGTTTGGTGCAGAGGTTTTTAGAAATGTGTACAAACATATGCCAGCAGTCATAGCTGCAAACATGCAATTGTTTGACAACTAGTACAATACAACACAGATTATTGTAAAATTAGTGATTCACATTATTGATGTGGGCATGAATTGGGTATTCAGAACTTGTGGGGCATTAAGGGCAATATTGTACCTTGTTCACTTTATTCACACCATCAACATCCACAGGTGAACTGATGTCGTCAACTCCACTATTTGTTTTGCTATCAATGCACAATTGCATATCCCCAACCTCAGTGGCTTGAACTCCACTTCTGCGCATTTTTCCTTTTTCTTTTCTTTTTCCTCTTCCTCTTCCCTTTGCACTTCCTCTAACGATTCCAGTTGCTCCCAATGGTTGGCCAAGCTTAGTAGGAGAAGTATGCACATCGCACACCACGTTCTTCACACCCACTGACTGAAGGTCAGGACTGTATTTATCTTCAGTTTCATATGTTTCCCCCGACTGAAGGCCTCCCTTCTTCTGGTTGTCCCCACCTTCTTCGATGTTCAGCTTGTGCCCATCATGGAAATGGCTTTTGTCCCTTGCCAAGGTTCCCTTCAAATTCTGTTGTTGGTGATCCACCCCTTGTACATCTGAAATATTATACTCCATTGGGTTAACTTCGTCAGATGGTTTGACCACACCATCGTCATGCGCCTCGACTTCAACAGCAGGGTCCACACCCTGTTTGTCCACACCTGCCGATTGTGGTCTACAGAATATACCTTCGATAAGGTGGTGTAGCATTTGCTTCAGTTAACCTAAATTGGTTTGTTCAGTGAACGGTTCGTTGCAGCCCAAACTGAAACGTTGAAGCAGTTGCTTCAACATTTCCTTCAGTTCAGCAACATTGGAGGAGAGGTTAATGAAATACATATCATTGCCTTCCACCTAATCATACATACACATTCGTTAACTTAGTCTTATAAATCATCTTCAAATGATGTGGCTCAACTGTGTCAAATTTGCGTAATGATTGGATAAATTACCTTGTCATTGTCAACAACTTGCTTGCATTGGAAGTGTCGCAACATCTCCATTAAATTTGTTTGGTTGTGGAGAACTTGCTTCATCATTTCCTTCAGTTCGTGAATGTCGGACTCTAAATTGCTCATACAGACTTGATCGTACTGTCCTTTTTGTTGGTTCTCGACATGGCATGCATCCATGTCAGCATCATCGGCGTTACTGTAATATTTCAAAGCACTGTCTCCATTTCATATTTCAAAGCACTGTCTCCATTTCATATTTCAAAGCACTGTCTCCATTTCATATTTCAAAGCACTGTCTCCATTTCATATTTCAAAGCACTGTCTCCATTTCATATTTCAAAGCACTGTCTCCATTTCATATTTCAAAGCACTGTCTCCATAGCAAAATTCAAAGCACTGTCTCCATTTCATATTTCAACCAGCAAAATTTGAAACAAACCCAACTCTAAATTCAAGTCAAAGCACTAAAATTCTGAATATCAAAAACATATGTGCCGGCAAACCCAAAAATAAAATCCAGTCAAACTTAAATTAAATAAAAACATAGCTTCAAAGCTAAATAAAAATAATTAATTCCCTTTTTCAAGGATTTGCATCTGGCGTTGGCGAATATATTGTGCTTGCAATGGAGGCATAATGCTCGTATCCATTGACATGATTCTCTCTTCCTCTCTCCTTTCCTCCAATGCAAGCCTTCGTTCCTCTCTCTTTTCCTCATTTTCAATCCTCCGTTCCTCTTGAAGATAAGATTTCTCAAATATCTCTATTTTCTTCTCATTTGTTATGTCATTCTTTACCTTTATCTCTTCTAAGAGCTTCACAAAAGGCGACTCTGTAACATTATTTCCAAGATCTTTAGCTTTGTTTTTCTTTGCGGCCTTCCTTCCTATTGGTCTTTCCACAACATCATAGTTATCATTGTTCTCTAAGTTTACTGAATCTGGTGTACAAGGGGTTGACGTTGCCGGAGATGCATTTTTTGTGCTTTTTTGCTTCTTTGTTGTTGTATCTTCCATCCACTTTGGTTGGGATCTCAATTCATTCCAACAATGCTCAAAGGGAAAGTTCGAGTGATACAAGTCTTTGTACAATTTTTTCGCATCCTGAATCTGAAAAATAGATTAAAGAATAATCACTATCACGCAATGAATAATATATATTCATTATAGGTACAAAATTAAATTGTAGTAATACCTTGTCTTTTTCAGTCGAACCACTTCGATTTAACCGTTCAACTTGAGCAAAACATCCACAAAATTTATTTGTGGCAAGTTGAATCGTCGACCACCGATTCATTAGAGAAGTTTGAGTTCTTTCAGAATCGAAGGTTTTGTACTTGTTGTAGTTCTCCCACACTCTTAGCCAATATGCCTTTGACTTTTGCTCATTTCCTCTAATTGGATCTAAGCTAATATTAAGCCATGAAGAAATGAGCATCATGTCTTCCTCTTCGGTGAAATTCCCTTTGCGTTGTGATATCTTTGTAGTTTGAGTAATACTTTCAGGAGAGAATGATAAAGATTGACTCTCTTGTTGAGGAGATTCAGTGGTAAAATCATGGTCAACGTCAAACTCGTTCATTAGGTTGCTAAAATACGCATTTCCTTGATATTCCATCTAAATCACAATTGTTCATACCACACAAAAAGAAAAGAAAAAAAAAATTATCAATTCATGGCCTAATTCCAAAAATAATGAATTAGGGAATGGTGGACATAATTGGAACAAAGTAATTTAAAATTGGACATAATTGGACATTAATGGACAAAGCATGATACAAACCATATTTTATTCATTTCAGGGATCAACCCCGATCACAATTTTACACAAAAAAAAATAAAAAAAAAAAAAAAAAAAACCAAACAAACAAACAAACACTTGACTCGTTTGGGTTCGTAGCCTCTTTAACTTGAGTTATTAAGCCCATATGGGTGTCTCTACACCTAGTGCCCTAAAACCGTCTGGTTTGGGAGTCATTGGCTCAATACTTGTTACATGGGTTACTTAGAAAGCTTAAGGAACCTAGACATTGCACAGTTAAGGAAAAATAATACAAATGACTTGTTCGGATCCGTAGCCTTTTAGCTCAAGTTATTAAGCTCATGGGGGTGTTTTCACACCTAGTGCCCTAAAACCGTCTAGTTTTGGAGTCATTGGCCCAATACTTGCTACATGGGTTAATTAGAAAGCTTAATGGATTAGGACATTGCACAATCTCTTCAACAAAAAACAAAAAAAACATTTTGAGAATCCTGGTTACAAAAGTTTAATCTTGTCTATTTTTGTTGGAGGTTATTATGAGTTACATTGGGCTATTATAGTGGCCAGTTAACTAGTTATGGAGATTGCACGTTACACCGAGGTTACTGATGATGTGTTCTACTAGCATTCACAAGTACATAGAACTTGATTTGTGTAATACTGAATTACGGTCACTGCGCAATAGACTCTTTCATGCTTGATTTCTATGCCTTCAATAGCTCATCATGTCTGAATATTGCACTGCAGTGACACATAAGTTAATTCTTGAGTGATGTAGTGTGATTGATTGTTGTTGGATAGATGTGAATATGTTCATGTTTGTGGGTATCATTTCTAGAAGCCCTCATGAGACTTTACTCGTCCACTTGGGGTAACTTTGTGGTTTAAAGGCTTGTTGCATACACTAAATGCAATCGTTCTTCCCAAGAAAGATGAGATAGTTAGATTTTGTTTAAGTTTATTTTTCTTTCTTTATTTCTTGCTTGAGGACTAGCAAGTTGTAAGTTGGGGGATGTGAATAAGGTCGAATTATAAAACACTAAGGTCATTAATTATGATCTCTTAACTTTACTTGTTTGTCAAACTATACATTTTATGCTTGTTTAATGTCAATCAGGTTTGTACACAATGGAAGCATAAAATGAGCAAAAATGCAGAGAAAATTGCTTCCCGCATGTGCGGAGGCCTATTCCCACACGTGCGGTCTTTACCTTGTAGCCAAATAGGGGCCCAGCTTTCCTGCAAGTGTGGAGGGTTTTTTCCGCACGTGCGAAACCCTTACCTCACGTGCGGTGACATTTTCTGCACGTGTGGCCGTACCTCAGAAAACGTGCCTGATGTTTTAAACCTAGGAGGTATGAAAAGATAGAAAATAGGTTGGATTAGGGTTCTGATATTTTTCCAAGGAAAATGAAGGCTAGGGTTTTGAAGAGAAAGAAATTTGAAGTGTGAAAGATGTATCACATGGTGGTTTCTACTCCATCTACTTCTTCTCACTCCTCCATGAGTGGCTAGGCTTCTATTTCTAGGGTTTTGATGAAACCCCGGCCAAGTAAATAGGGATTTCTTTTTGGTTTTCTCTTGTGCAATGGTCTGAACAATTGTATGGTCCTTAAGAAGTTTCAAATATATTTTTTTTAGTATTTTCTTCAAGTATTCTACTTCCTGTGATTGTTGAATGCATTTCATACAATAGTTTTCTCTGTTTTCATATTCAAGGTATGAGACGAGCCATACTACGAAGGATGAACCGTTTTGCTACCGTAGTTTAGAGCAAACGATTTGTGCCACTTGAGATGGTTCGTGCCTATACATTGAACGTGGTAATTTCCTTGATCAATGCTTTGAACTTATAGTTGCGAAATTTTATTTCTTTCGAACCAGAACATAATTGACTTTCAAATTGAAACCTTATTTACATAACTAGTAGTGGATTCATTATCCTAGATTTTTCCCAAAATCAGTACTTCATCCTTACTTTTAATTAATTGTTTAATCGCTTTGTTTAATTTAGTTCTCATTAGATTATGAACCAATCATCTTGAATCAAAATTAATTTAGGAATTTAACAATTAAATTAGCTTAATTTCACAATTGTCCCTATGGATTGATACCTGGACTTGCCATTATTCTAAGGAATTTGGCACAGTTTAGTGTTTAATTTTGGTGTGAAATGACCCATCAATGATAATAAGGTTGCCATCAACATAGCTCACAATCCTATTCAACATGACAAGACAAAGCATATTGAGATTGATCGCCACTTCATTAAGGAGAAACTCACTAGCGGCATGACATGTACTTCTTTTGTGAACTCCAACGAACAACTTGCAGACATCCTCACCAAGGGGGTGGGGAGTAAAATATTTCATGATATTCTGAGCAAGCTAGAAATGAGAGACATCTACGAACTAGCTTAAGGGGAAGTGTTAGAATATTACGTTATGATTTGATTTGATTTAGCTGTAATTTCCTTATTATGGACTTTCCTTATTGGTGCCTTAAGACTTCCATTGTAAGCTACATGTTATTAATATAAAAGGGGATGATTATCACATCATTCCCTGAGTATGTTCTTCTCTCAAACAAACAAACCCTACTTATTGGCTCATAGAAATCAAACCATTACTCGTATTCTTGTCTTGCGAGAGAGGAAGACATTTAATTAATGAAAATAGAGTAAAGAAAGGTCCCTAGCTATCAGCTAACTCCTTTTAATTTGACCTTTTCAGGTCTAATTTCAAAAAGAAGAACGCAATCCTCAACTTACATAACTTATGCGAAGGAACTATCCTCATTTTCCATAAAAAATAAGCACGAACAAAGCCTAATTTTAGTATCATACAGTCCAAGACTAGAGAGATAATCTGACATTCAAGAATATTCAAGTCGACAAATTTCATGCCAATCTGTTCAAGGTCATCGGTTAATGAATTTAATTTTGGTGGCTTCAGAGAATTAGCATCCAAAACTGGCACAAGGAAACCAAAAACAAGAATTAAGAGTCCGTACATGGAAATTGAAGCTCTTGGATTAACGAAGTTGTTTGGAATTACTCCACTTAGGTTGTTAAAGCTGAGGTCTCTGCAAGAGATCATAAAGAAAAAGATATTGAATGACTTTTGAAAAGAATTTTATTTCAGTAAAATGGAAACTCTAAAACAGATAATCACTACAATGAATTGAAATTTTCAACCCAACAGGATATATTGAAGATCTTTGCAACATAATAGAGTCTTTTGGCAAAACAACACATTCTCAATTGATCAATGGCCTGCCATCATCTTTGAATTGATTTATAAAACATTTGTCCATGGTACTATGAACCATTGTCAATTCAAGTTTCTTTTCTACATTATCTGGTTTGTCATAATTCTAAATTTTATAAAACGGTACAACATTAATTTATCATCACATTAACACTAGTAGTTGCACATAAACACATGCTAATTGAGGTTCCTCAAATCATTAGATATCTAATCTACAGAGTAAAAACCCTTTTGTTGTTTCATTGCTATATAAAGTTTAATACATTACATACGAACACAAAATAGGTAATTCATAAGACATTTAATGATATTAAATTATTTCAGATCAAACTAGCAATGGCCCAAAAAACTCTTTCAAGAGAACTTACAACCACTACTACACATGCCAATCCAATATGGGGGGGAGGGGGAAGGTATAAAAATATACTAACAAAATTGTTAAATTGTTCATTGTCCCAAGATACTCTGGTAAGCTTCCAATAATGTTGTAACTTGTCAACATCCTGCAATGCGATCAAGCATACATGATTTCAAGTAACCACGAGGACGTTTGAAAATTCTTTTTAAGGAAGTCATATAGAAGCATCCAACTTACAGTGTACGCAGGTTTCTCATGTTACTAAGGGGTGGAAAAGTAGATACTTTAGTTCCATTCAAGTCACTAATTCTTCTGCATATTGTATTTCAACCAAAAACAATAGAATCAAACCTTGATTACCAAGAAAATTACTAATCAAACACCAATGCACACAATATGGATAAAAGTTGAGGGAGTAAAAGATTTCTCACTGACAATTCAGTCATATTTGTCAGAACAACAATGCCAGAAGGAATTGGACCATCCTAACCACTAGCCTGGATATATCTGCCATTACCATATGTTTATTTAAACAAGTTGTTGAATGAAAAACAAGTGACATCAAAACACATCAAGGCCTCACAAATTTCGAAGATGTATCCAGTTTTGGACGAAATTGGGTATGCTCCCTGTAAAGAGGTTGTCCCCGATCCGACTGCATTGTGGTAAACAATAATTGAACAACATATTTCAAAATATAAACATTAAACTCCCACAAAAAAAAAAAAAAAAAACTTATAGAAACTCACAAATCCTTCAAAGTGGTCAGCTTTGCTAGTGTTCCTGGCAACTCCCCATAAAAATAATTCGACGTCAAGCTCCTTTAAAAAAAAAAAACCAAAATAGAGTTAAAAAACAAAATAGAGTTCAATTAACCAATTGGATTGCTCCAATGAAGAGGACCTATTACTCTCATATACAATGTAATGGATTCAATCGTCAAGGATGAATGTTAAGGTTCATTTCCTACTCCCTTTTGAGTCTGGCCAGGGTTATGCCCAACAATTACAAAGTACATATATTTTGACGGAAGATTACATGTACTAGGGATCGAGAATTAGTTGGGTGAAGCCTTGAACACACTCCTGAGTGAACCATATAGATATATACTAGTGAGTTTGTGCCTACCCAATGGGTGTGCTATTAAATCTGTAAAATATAAAGTTTGGTTTTGATGTCGTATATGGCTCAAGTGGTAAAAATGTTGTTTCTCAAACCAAAGGCCTTGGCCTCCCTATATAATTTCGTGTTTTAAATAGACTATAAGGGCATTTTTGGAAGTGAAAATGTCACATTGTGTCAACACCATAAAAAGTCTTCAGTTTATAGTAGTATAGATAGATAGATATATTGAAAGGATCTTAACTTCAGTTGCCAACAAATTGATACTCCACAAGCATTTATTAGAGTGGGGCATAAGTTGTAACAATATATTTCAACAGTGTTAGTTAGAACTAGTAAATTTATTTAACAAGTGAATGACCCATCTCTCCATCACACACAAAGAAGGAAAAGGATTGAAAAAAAAAAAAACGCACACACACACAACTATGATACCACATCTTCACCAACACGTGGTATCCAATAATAAGCAACCAACTATGATGGCAGTTACATAAGTAATTATTTAAAGTAGGTAGCTACATTTCAATTCTGGATTCACTTTTCCATGCTTAAGTTTATCATTGGCTGATAATACCTCACTTTTCCATGTTTAAGTTTATCATTGGCTAATATTACCACGTGTCCTTAACGGATGATATCATATTGAATTTTTACTCGTACTTCTCTCCCTTGCCATGAGGTGACTTTCACCACCACCACTGCTCCCACAAGCCCCCATACATAATGCAACAAATAAAAACATCTACAAACGCATCGATAATAGCACTCCATGTCCATCAAGTGGCTTAAAGTGCAGAAATTGAAGTATACGTGTTTGGGCTGAGAGCATTTTTTTTGCATTTCTCTAACGCTGTGTTTGGTTGGGGCATTTGGAAAGGGACTTGGAAAGAAAAAGGGAAAAGATAGGTGAAATGTAAATAAAATATACCTATATTTCAAATAATTTCACACGCCTTTTCCCTTTTCTTTTTCAAATTCCTTCCAAAATCTTCAAACCAACACAGCGTAAAAGTCCTCAATAATGCTTCCATGGACTATCCATTTGGTAGAATAATCTAAAATTATTGAGTTCCCTAGCATAGCATCTTCGCTTTCACACATTTTGTGTCGGACAACAAGATCGCCATATTGAAATCATGCACCCACGAGTGAATTGACAACAAACATGTCACAAACAAAGCCCAATCTGATTGCTAGACCATGATTATTATATACAATTCAAGTGCTCCAAAAGGAACCCCGTTTGTAACATAAACACCAATTATGGCATTCCACGTGAAAATAGTTCTTTGGCACATTCTATCAAACACCTCCTCTGCTTAGATTGGGTATTGGGTTAGGCGTGAGGGGGTGGCTAAGGAGGGCGGGGAAACGATACGGGTGGTCGGTGGAGGGGTGATGGGGAAGCCTTGTAAACCGTATCTCTCTCTCTCTCTCTCTACTGCTTTCATGTTCTGTGGTTTGTGGGTATTGTTGAGCTTAGACGTGAAATAATGGAGAAAGGAGATCAATGGGGATGGCTAGCACTGTTTATCCCGGCCACTGTGCGCGCGTACTTCATAGCCTCTTTTTTCGGTGATGCCAATGGTGTCTGGTGGGTATCTGGTGTAGTAGTGGGGAGTTGAAGTAACACTCCGTTTGGATTGTAGGCAGGAAAAGTTTTCAATCGAGGTGTATTTGCAAATTGATTATTTTAATTGTTTTTTTAAAATTTTTATAGAAAAAAAATGTAAAATATAGAGAATGATGTGATAATTTATACTAATTTTTTTTTTAAAGGAAATTTACAATTGCCCTCTCGTTACCCTCTCTTTTGCCCTCTTCAGTCACCACTACTGAATTGTCATCGGCAACCCTCTTCCTATCTCGACGAGCCACATGTGGCGCTAAACCCTACCGGTGATTCCCCTTTCCAACCTCCTTCCTCCAATAACGACCTCTCTCAATCGCCCCTTGCCGCCTTCTCTTCCCTCTCTTGTGCATCACCCCCCTGCTACATCGTAACCCAGCTATGTTGTTGCCCATGCTCGCTCATTATTTCTCGTTGTTGCAATTTCCCTCTGCTCGCCATTGCTATCACGATCCAGTCATGCCAATCTCAAACTAGATTTGGAGATTTCCATATCTTAAAAAGTGTAGAATGAGAATAAAAAGGTGTGTGTGTGTGTGTGTGTGTGTGTGTGTGTGTGTGTGAGAGAGAGAGAGAGAGAGAGAGAGAGAGAGAGAGTAAACTAATAATATTTTTAATTTTAACACTGAAAAAAATTGATAAATTTGTCAAAACCGATAATATTTTTAGTTAATACTAAAAAAAATTGAGAAATTTCTTAATTTTGATAATTGTAAACTAAAATCATTCTCGATTTTGGAACTAAGAACATATTAGTTTTTATCTACAAACCAAATCTCCAAATCTCCAAATCCAACATTCTCAATTTTGATATGTTTTGTTTTTAGTATTCAGTTTGATTTTGTTACATATTGCTTCTGAGTTTATTAACTGTTCATCATTTGAAAGTACTATTCACTGATTTTCCTTGATTTAACGTTTTTGACGTGATCTACCAAAACGGTAGGAATGTCAATTTCATTTCAAAATGGGACTTGTGAGTCCAAAAACTGTTACACGGGACTTGAGCTCCCACACCTCCTCTCATTAGGATTTTTAGGTAATTAATCCATTTTTTTATTATAATAAGTCTCCAAAGTTGGCCTAACTAAAAAAGCAAATTATGAGAGAAGGATATGTGTAAGATTTATTTTGAGTAAATTACATTGACCTCCCCTAAAGTTTCTGACAAATACAGGGACCTCCCCTGTTGTTTTAATAATTACAGTAATTTCTCCTACTTTACCTGACATTCTCCAGATTCCCCTATGCTGTCAAATTGAAACAAACGATGTTACTTTCCTATAATAAATGACCTTATTGCCCTTCTTTTTAAAATACTAAAAAATGTTTTTGGTTTGGAGGATGGCTTTGCAAGAAAATGATCTTACTATAGGAAGAAACACTGTTTGGAATAAACAGTGTTTTTGGATTTATATTTTAAAAATTTTAGAAAGTGTTTAAGAAAATTTTATTTTTTTATTTGAAATATATAATTTTCATTTAATTATTTTTAAATTTTCTTATTTTAAATATTTTATTTTATTTTGAAAATATTTTAAATTTTTTTAAACACAACTTCACACTTAAATCGTAACCAAACACATAATTCAAAACTCAATTCAAAAATTATTTTTAAACCTCATAACCAAATACATAACTAGAAACTCCATACTACTTTTAAAACTCTACACTCAAATCGTAATCAAACACATAATAAAAAATTTTTTTTATCAAATTAAAGATTCAATTCATCAAATTTGAATTTAATATTTATCAAATTGAAGATTCAATTCATCAAATTTGAATTTAAAAACATAAAATATTAGAAATGATTTTCTATTTTTTTATTATTTATTTATTTATTTTTTTTTAGGGTGAAGACTAATAAATTCGAAAATGTGATCTTGTAAATTATTTAATACTTTATTTTTTTTTTCCTTATAAATCGAAATGTCTCATTAAAATGAAAATTACACAAAGGGGTAGTCACTTACACGTTTAGGTTTAATTTTTTAAAGATAAAAGTAGGTTTTTCCAAATATAAAATTATACATTTGAGCAATCTGTATTATAGATGTTTTAAATTTTTCCTCTTTTTGGAACAAATTAAATATTACGAACAAAAATGTAATATTTCAATAACTTAACACTCCAATTTAATATACTAAAAAATTTCTTAATGTATTTTTTCCAAACGTAACAACGTAACACTAAAAAAAAAAAAAACTCTTTAGTGTATTTTTCCTAAACGTAACACTCAAAAATAAATAAATAAAAATAAACAAACAAACTCTTTAGTGTATTTTTCCTAAACGTAACACTCCAATATAACACATAAAAAAAAATTAGTGTATTTTTCCAAACATAACACTCCAATCAATATGATTCTAAACGTAACACTCCAATGTAACACACAAAAATGCTAAAAAATTCATTAGTGTACTTTTTTCAAATATAATACTCACGGTTTGAAACTATACATTTACTCAAAACTTACTAAAGAATTTTTGCATTCCTTTTGGAACAGTTTGAAGAATCTCACATCCTTTTTTTGAAGTGTTATGTTGGAAAAAATACAAAAAGAAGCTTCTTGTGTGTTACACAAAGGAATTTTTTTGTATTATTATGTGGGAGTTGTGGGGATATATTTTCTGAGTACCAACACGTGGCCAAGATGACGCCGACGTGTCAGCCGAGGTGCCACGTGTCCTGGTCATGACGCCGAGGTGATCTCGGCAAGGCCGAGGTGATCTCGGCAAGGCCGAGGCTACCTCCGAAGATGTCGGAATCCGAGATAAGCGGATAGGGCACAAGAGTCCTAGAATGATAAGAAGACTTCAGTTTGGACTAAGATAAAACTCTTAGAGAGTTTATCCCAATCCTATTAGGAGTCCAAGATTAGCAGTAATCCTGAGTCCATTGAAGTTAGGCTTCTATTGGGACTAAGATTGTGTTGGCTATAAAAGGGAGGCACCCACATGGGTCTAAGGTATGTCTGTTATGCTTTGTCTAGTGAGTTAAGCATTATTGATTATCTTGGACAGATATTTTACTGACTTGATCGTCGGAGTGCCCCCGGGTGGACGAGCCACCGCGGGATTCTTATATTTCTGTGACAGGTTGTTTGGGCTTAATCTATTATGCCAGTGTTCTCCAGCTGAGTGCTTGATTGGCAGTGTGGTCGGAAATTGACACACACAATTTGGCGCCGTCTGTGGGAAGAAAGAAGAATAGATGGCCAGTAACGAACAGAAGGAAAAGATTGGGGATGACACTCCTGCTGGGAGTGGGAGACCTATTGACCTTGATATCTAAGGAGACGAACACAACACAGAAACTCATGACCAGAATCACGGAGTGAAAGATGTTGGCCAGACTGGCGACGTACCAAATAGACCAGATCGAAGTGGGTACTACAACAAGGCCGACCTCCAGGTATGAAAGGATAGGTGCCTGCGAAGGGACGAAGAAGTGAAAGAGATGGCAAACAAATTGGCAGACCTGCAATCGGTCGTCAATTTTATGATGCAAAAATAATGTCATGCAGCCACCATTGCCGCTGCAAGAAACGCCGATCCCAGCGGCCAATGCCCAGAAGGGAGGGCAGAAAACAATCCCCGTAACTCCTCAGCACACCAAGAGTGAGAGACACTCTCACTGACCCTCCAAGGAGGGGAGGTCGGACGAGGAGAGTCAAGAAGGGAAGAATCATGGAGGAAGTATCACGCAAAAGAGGCAGACCCCAAAGAACATCGGCATGTTCAGGAGCAGGCGCTGTGCTTTGACTCAACTAATGGTGAAAAGTCAAAGAGGACACACCACGAAGCTGAAAGCAGTGCACCAAAAAGATTGAAAGTAGAAGATAGCCGAGCTCCTGGGCAGACGAAGGAGGACTTAAGAGATTACCTCAAGAGGAAGCAACAGAATGCCTACGCCGAGGTAAACTCCCCAGATAAGCCGAGGACACCATTCTCGGTGGAGTTGGACAAGTTTGAGGCACCGAAGAGATTCAGTATGCCGAGGTTCCAAATATACGATGGTAAGTCAGACCCCAACTTCCACGTTGGATTATGCTTGAACTCGATGGCATTATATAGTGGGAACGAGCCGTTGCTCTGCAAAGTATTCCCTTCCTCCTTCGGGGAGATTGCATCAGATTGGTTCCACAAACTACCAAAGGGAAGCGTGAAGACTTGGGAAGGCCTGGCCGAGATGTTTGTGGCCAGGTTCGTGACAAACAAACTGCAGCCATTAAGGGTGGACGTATTGTTAGCTCTAAAAATCAGTAAGGATGAAGGCCTTAGGGCCTATGCAAAAAGATACTATGAGGTGTTCAACCGAATGCCAGAGTGCAATCAAGAGGTGGCGGTCGTATCTTTCAAAAACGGCCTAAAAGACGACTGTCCGCTACAAAAGTCTTTGGCAAAGACACTGCCAAAAAGCATGAAAGAGCTCATGGCGAGAATCGAGAAGTATGCTAGAGCCGAGGAAGACACGTCGGGAGCTAAGGAGACAAAGCAAGAGAAAGTAAACGGCTCACCAAAGCGAGGCCGAGGTAACAATGGATCAAGCAAGCAAGAGACAGAACTAAGGGCTGCACAGGCAGTGACAACTGTGTTCCGAATACCAATTCACAAAGTCCAGGAACAAATTCGGAATCAATCCTATTTCAGAACACCAGCAAGGGCACCAGGAGAATTTATGGGAAGGAACCTTGGCAGGCATTGTGCCTACCACAACAAAAATGGGCATATGACTCAGGGTTGCAAAGCCCTGAAAGCACACTTGGAAGACCTGGTGAGGCAAAGCCATCTGAGAGACCTTGTCAATGAAGCTAGAACAAGGGAAGAACAGGCAAGACTGCCTCAGGCACTAGCTGCTCCGCCTCCCCCAGCACAGCAACCTCAGGCAGGAGGACCTCGGGTAATTAATGTAATTCACTCGAAGGTCAGTGAGAACGAAATCAGGGGGGAGACCTAGAAGGTGAAGCACTTACAACACATCTACCAAGTCGGGGAGAAGAGACATCGGGCAGAGGAGTGCCAAGGACCAATAGTATCATTTTCTGAAGCCGACCTTGAGATAGTGCAACATCCGCATAATGATGCCTTGGTAGTATCCCTCCAGGTTGGGGAATGCCAAGTAAAGGGTATCCTGATTGACCAAGGCAGCTCTTGTGACATCATGTACATCCGATGTTACAAGGAGCTCGGCCTCCACACAGACGATATGAAGCAGTCCAATAGCCCAATGGTCGGATTCAATGGAACGCCGACATGGCCACTAGGGACAACCAGCTTGGAGGTGTAGGTAGGCACTAGGAAGATAACGACAGAGCTCACCGTAATTGACACACCCCCCCTTACAACATTATCTTGGGAAGGCCATGGTTGCATGCAATGGGGGCAGTTCCCTCAACATTACATCAATTATTGTGATTCCCAACAGGGCATAGGATT